GCAAAGCCCAAGGCTCCGCCCGGTGCGTGCCCAAGGCCTGCCCGACGGAAACTCCTGCTGACCGGACGACGGTGAGGGTCCCCGCGGCCCGCCGGCAGACGCTGAGCGCCGAGGTCTGTCGACGGCGCCGCCGGGGCGCCGCTTCCCGGGGCGTCTTCCCGGGTGGGCCTGGGCTCAGCGTGCTGCGACACACGCATCCAGAAGGAATACTAGTTGTAAAGTAAGCGCAGTTGTGGAGGCTACCTTAAAAGAGAATGAACGTCGGACTTCTGAGCAGGATGAGCGCAGGAGGATGGGCAAGGGTCTCGGGGAGCACAGTGCGGTGTCACACCACGCGGCGGGGCGGCGCCCGTGCCCGGCAGCGCTGCGTCGTTTCTCAGAAAGAGAAGGGTCGGTGCGCTTTGTCAGCTGTTTTCTGTTTGTTTCCAGAGAGCAGGAGTGCCTGACACCAGTAAGAAAACGAAAAACACCATCCAAACCAACAAAAACCCGAAGGAAGGCGGCCCTTTTGAACAGGAAGGTGGAGTGCGGCTTTACGTGTCTCCACTTAACACTGCCAGACAGTTCTGCAGCAACTGTGGGTTGCCCTAAAAAGGAAGGAAAGATACAGGATGAATCTCTCGCGTTCAAACAGTTGAGAAGGCTCCTGTGGAAAATATATACAACGTTAGAAATCACAGAAGGTTGGCTTCTTTGGGTTTTGGTCGTTTCTGAGTCGGAGTCTCGCTGTCAGCCAGGCTGGAGCGCCGCGGCACACACCCGGCCACCCCAGCCTCCCCCGGCTCGGCTCCGGCCATCCTTCCGCCTGCAAGGAGCTGGAACTACAGGCACGTGCCATCGCGCCCACCTAGTCTTTCTCGACTTACTGTGAAGACAGGTCTCTGACGGCGCTGCCGGGGCGTCTTCCCGGATGGGCCTGGGCTCCGAGCGCCCGACTCACGCGGCCACGGGCCCCGGCGAAGGCTAGGCGGGGAGCCATCGGCACCCACTTCGAGCCTCGCCCGCTCTGCACATCGGGCAGGGGCCGGACGGAGTGTGCGCTCCCGGCCACCAAGCTGGGGTGAGACGCCGGAACCACGGGTCGCCAGACGGTTCGGCTGGGGAGAGTCCGGCCACGCGCTCTCGCACGTCGCGGGCGAGTCGGCCGCGGTTC